TTAAGTTGATTACCTTCTGTGTTGGTTTTTTCATTGTTTGGAAATATTTCTCAAAGTTTGTGTTGTAGTCTCTAGAAATAACTCTTATATTATTATTCAGATTTGGAACGTGTTACGGATTATGCCGAGGAAAAAGAGATCTCCGCGGCTAATATATCCAGCGTGAGTACAAAATTTCCCTATAAACAATATAATTCATAGGTTAATAATACCTTTCATAAATATTTACAGGCCGTGGAACAGTTTGGCAACCAGCGAAACAAGGAGAACGAACTGCGAGTTGCCAAGGAAAAAGAGCTCCAAAAGGTCCAGGTCAAAAAGGAGGACATTGAACTGATTGTACGTTGCCACAATGATAACGGGGTTTCATTGCGAAATAGGGATTACCTTTCTTCTTTTCTGGTTCATATATTGTTAAGAGATATCAACAGATATCTAGATACAACCCGTGGTAGTTCTTTTACTGCCTTTTTATCCACACATCTTTGCAGTCGTCCTATCGTTTACTTTTTAGTGCGTAAATCTTTTAAAAAATTTGCGATAAGTAAATTGGATTTTCCAAATTGGATTCAGAATTTTAAGTAACATTTTTGAACAAATTTAATTTCTGCCAAATTTAATGGATTTTCCATAAAATTAACAATATTATTAGTTCAATCCATTAAAGCCTTCAACCGAAACTCATTGCTTCCATATTTTCCCTCCTTTCCAGATGAATGAGCTGCTAGTTAGCAAGGCGCAGGCCGAGAAAGTGCTCCGCGAGCAGAGCGGCGATGTGGTGGCCGCCTTGGAGGCCATCATCAGCAACTGAGGTGCTTGGAGGACCTGGAGGACTAACCGCCGTCTGTTTCTTTTATGTAGCCTAACACTGCTTTATTTGTACATTTATAAACTCTAGCGAAGAAAAACCAACAACTTTTAAGCCCACAAACAGAACAAACGTTTTTTTCCTCGGCAAAAGGATTTTATTTTGGTGTAATAATAACTTGCAATTTTATTCAGAGTATCGCCGCGTGCCCAGGCACTCGTGTCCTTAAGAAAAACCGTTGACAATTTGACTATCAATATGTGATCATGCGCATCCTTGTATAATTTATATTTATAGTTATCCAATTTCTAAAGGAAAAAACAATAGTCCTTCGTCTCAGCCTCCCACTTATACTCGTAAATATGACTTTTTGGCAGTTGCGTTTGCTTCGCTTTCACATAATGCCGATTGCTCTATTGAAATAATAATGTGCTACCAAACATTATTGAGGAAAACCTGATTTCTCATTGCATATCTATGCGTTTCGATCCAATCCGTTTTATATCGGGTGGTGGGGAGAGAGGGAAGGTAGTTGAATAGACATATAAATTAAGAAACAAAACAGACAATGAAATTCATTTATAACAACTAAAGCAAAATTAGGTAGTGTGACTGACTACAACCCAGTTAAGGCTTAAAATGGAGTATGGGGAAGTAGAAGTTCGTGTAGTAGCATTAACTAAATTATGTGATTAAATACTTTTGCAGATTCTCGCACGATGGCGTATTGATGTTCTGCGCCTTTCTGTACAGGTCCCGATCGCCGAAGGTACGCGCCTTAGCCAGCATTGAGTCGCCTGAAATTAGGATTATTTTAAGTAAAAATTCTATGAAGTTTTCTCGATTCGCTTACGATAATTTCGCTCTCGACTGCAGGAGTGTTTTAGATGATTGACAAAGTCCTCTTCCACGGATTCCTCTAATCGGGCCACCGATCCCTGATACTCTGAATAGAAGTTATCCTTGACATAGTAGGGTATTTTCAGGGCATTCGTCTCGCGCTTCACAGAATATTTACTGTTAAAGGAAGGGAAAATTAATTAATTCTGAATTTTTACCGAGTCTTAAAGGTATTATTTACTGAGAGGGCGTCAGGCTGTACATGGGATCCGAGATGAAGAAGGACGACATCATGGAGAGTCCAATGAGCAGCAAGATAGGCAGCAAGTTGATCAAAGCCGAAGAGTTGTTGCCCTGGAAAATAGAAAGAAAAATTTAAGATTTATTTTCGAGGCCCTAACCCAAAAATTTTGACATGAATCTAAGCTTAAGATCTAGCCCTTACATCCCGATCCTCGCGAGCCTGATGACGACGTCGCTGCTGCCGCATATAGACATTCTGCTGCGGGAATCCGCCGTTGAAGAACATGTTGAACAGCTCCTCGGCACTGATATCAGCCTGGAAACCGCGGGAGTAACCATACTCGTTGTTGTAGTGCTGGCCATGTCCATGGTGACCGCCACCTCCATTTCCATGACCGCCGTGCGACTCATTGATGCCATACAGATCGTAGTTCTTGCGCTTCTCGGCATCTGTGAGGACGCCAGCGGCATTTCCCAGAGCTTTGAAGGCCTCCACCGAACCGGGGGCCTTGTTTTTGTCCGGATGCAATTGGAGAGCCAGCTTCTTGTAGGCCTTCTTGATCTCCGAATCCGTGGCCGTCTTGCTTACGCCCAGTACTTCATAGTAGTCCTTGCATCTAAGAGATTGGAATTAGTAATTAAATGAAATTAAATTAAGGCAGAGCACTTACTTCTTAACCTTTCGTACTGCCTCCAATTGATCATTGGTGTAATCTGGGGCATTGGAACGTGAATCCGAGTTCACACGTTTTCTGGGACCGCTGTCCTTTTCATCGCTGGCAGCAGCTGGACGAGATTTGCCATTGCTTCCGCTGCCCGGGGTGCTCTTCACCTGGGCCAGGAGCTCTGAAAGAGGTGTTCAAAAAATATGTCATTAGGTCAAAGGTCAATGGTTTGCACTACATATTCGTATGTATATAGTGTAATATTAAAAAAATTGTTCTGTATATTTTATGGTTGTTTTTAAGATCAGAAAGCCATTATCCTTTATAATAATTATAAATTTAAGTCAGTAATAGGTTTAGTATTGACATAAACTGGATAGATTAAATTGATATAGATTGTATAACACTTCTGCGTAGTAATTCGGGACCACTAGTAAATTCAAAACTTTATAGGTGATATGTGTGACCCTAAATTACGCACTAGTAAACTTAATACCTGGTTAGATTAAAATCGGACCACTGTTTCTAATAGCAGACCAACCGACAGGTGCGGGAAAACAAACATATCTTTGTTGTTCTTATAGATAAGAATGAAACCGAAGATTACCGCCTTGTTAGGGCTAAAAGAAAGAGGCTTGCCAGCAAAAACTGTATAATTTGTAATCAAGGAATTAATGGGTTTTTAGACCCCCTTCCGTTATCCTTACTTTTAGCATTCTCCGTGGGAAAGAGTTTCTCCGCTTTCAGCAGGAACTTTTCGGCCTTTTCGATTTTGCCCTCGGCGAGCGCCTGGACTGCGAAGTCAATGCATCGCTGGGCCTCGTCCTTGTTGCCGTCCATCTCGCCCTAATCCGTAATCCCTAGTCTTAACTAGCAACTACGTGGTGATCAAAGTAAATAGTCGGGCTCCGCTCTCTTTATCTGTGTGCGTGGGCCTCGTTTGCGTGTGACGTTTACGGACTACGCACGAACACACACGTACGCCTGCTGGGTTTCAGGCTATTGCACTTGTTTTAACTTGGAAAACTAGGTTTTTCTTCTGTATTTTCCACCCGCACTTTTACTGAGATCTGCGTTTTTACTGCAATTTTAATTTAATTGATTTTATTTTCTCAACTTTTTCATCAGCCGAGAAAAACAAGGGTGTTGCCACTCGTTCGAGGAAAAACACGAACAGGGCTGCATTTAACTAAAAGGGAGCCACAAAAAAGCTAGATTTAATAGCCAAATAAATTTAGGCTAAAAATTAGTACCTAGTTTAAAAGTGGTATATATTTTTTGTTCTTAATTGGACTTTAATGGATTTTTTAATTTGCAAATACAAATTAGGTTCGAGCCAAATATTTTTAAAATTTAAATTTTTAAAAAACAAACTTAGTTGATAGCTACTATCAGAAGTGGGCTTATGTCAGCTATTTTTTTGTGAATCTTTCAAATTAAACTCAAATCTTAAACTAAATTAAAAGTTAATTTCTTTATAAAAAGAAAAGTGGCCTTCTAGCTAATAGTCAGCTAGTTGACTTCACTACGGTATTTTATAAGTGAAGTACTAAGCTTTTATACAAAAGAAGTATCATTATTCACTAGCTGAATTTTGTGGTTTAGGGCTAGTACTCAACCCAACAAAAAGTCGTCCAAAACAAAAACTTCATATGAAACACAATTTTTTGACGTTGCTTTCATATGAAGTCTTTTGTTTTGGACGACTTTTTGTTGGGTTGAGTACTAGCCCTTAAAATGGAACAATTAAAAACCAAGTCAACCTTTTATATTTAAAATATAAGCAATTATATCACAAAGTCTAGAATGATATAGCTATAAAATATTTGGCGGGAAACGGCCAAAACAGCTAATAGCCAGCCAGAGTTGCTTTGCCGCGGTGTTGCCAGATCGCCGATGACAAACATATGTATGTGTCCGTGTGGGTGGTAGCGTGAGAGTGTGTGCCGCAGCATGGGAAGCGAGTGATTCGCTGATTCGCCAAATTCGTCGTATTTACTTGGAAATTTGCAAAGTAATAGCCAAGGGTCGCCGCCGAACGAGTGCAATCGTATTAGCCGCGAAAAGGCCCGTTAATTGAGTGCATTGCGGCCAGCAAAAACGTCATCGCCGCGTGTGAGACAGTGTGCGTGTCCCCCAGTGCGTGCGCGTGTGTATGTGTGCGTGTGTGTGGCGCAGTTCACACAACTTGGCCTGGAAAAAGTGAAAGAGTATTTTTTTCGGCCATATTGTGTTGTCATAGCTGAAAAAAGTGCATTTCCCGGCCATATGGAGATTCTGGGTTCACTTAAGTTTACTTCAAATCCCCCAAATGTCGAGTAAATAGGCCGACTTATGTAAAGCAGAGAACAAAAAAAACTATTTACATTTACAAAGGTGCGTACGCTCAACTATGTGTGTGTGAGAGAGAGAGAGGGAGGGAGAAGTGCATCCAATTGAAATGTTTGTCCATATTTTCTATACGTATTGCAGGTTTATTATAAGATTTACATAGTTTAATTTGACTAGGGACTACTTCTTTAGGGAAAGACGCACTGGAACACCTGATTTCGGCATCAACGGTACTCCATTGACTCCAAACTCGATTTCTTTCTTTTCCTTGCGGATCTCCAGATCGAAATTCGACAAAACCTTGGCAATCGCTATCTTAACGTTCACCTTTCCCATGCGGGCGCCTGGAAAATAGAGGGAAATTTGTTAGTTTATAGGGAAGGTTCTAAATGATCTTAACTAGATCTGTATTTTGATACATTTTTATACCCTTGTAGAGGGTATTATAATTTCAGTCAGATGTTTGCAACGCAGTGAAGGAGTCGTTTCCGACCACATAAAGTATATATATTCTTGATCAGCACCAATAGCCGAGTCTATCTAGCCATGTCCGTCTGTCCGTCTGTCCGTCTGTCTGTCTGTCCGTCTGTCCGTTTCTATGCGAACTAGTCTCTCAGTTTTAAAGCTATCGCGATGAAACTTTCCCGAAAGTCTTCTTTCTATTGCAGGTAGTACATATGTCGGAGCGAGCCGGATCGGACCACTATTTCTTAAGGCTTCCATAGGGATATTCAAACAAATATAAGAAAATTCATTGTAACTTTGTAGGAAGTAGGCGTTTTGATTCTTGACTACTTAAAAACAAAATTGAAGTAGAAACGCTGAATCTGGAATCCCTGGAACTGCACCGAGTGAGCATTACTTTATCTGCAAGGGTATATAAGCTTCGGCTGGCCGAAGGTAGCTTCCTTTCTTGTTAAGAATTATGAAGTGGTGAAATAGGATTTTTTCAAAATGTTATTTTGGAAAATGGAGTGTTTTGAAAAAATGAGGTCTTTAAAAGTATTAAAAAAAAAACTATGTTGATCTAAATGATTATAACTCCGGATTCACTCATTTTGATTCTATTATTACTTCTTACCAATGCACATTCTAGGCCCCTCGCCAAAAGGCATGAAAGCCGCTTGGTTGAAGTCCTTGTTCTCGTCCAAATAGCGTTCTGGTTGATAGCTCATTGGATCGGGGAAGTACTCGGCATCTCGATGCATTCCGATAAGGGAGATTACAACGGGTGTGCCCTTCTTGATCACCAGTTTGCTATCGGGCACGGGATAATCCTGAGTGCAGACTCTGTTCAGCAGTGGAAGAGCAGGGTATTTACGAGCAGTTTCTGAAAGGAAGTTAAAAATATTATTTAATTCTTGCCTGACCGATATGGAATTTGGTAAGCGGTTGGGATAACCAAAAACAAGCGATCTCTATTACTAAAGAACTTACCGAGAACACAGGCCTCCAGGTACTTCATATCCGAGATAGCATCGTAGGTCAGCTTTCCACCGTGCTTTTCAATAGCTCTGCGGACATCCTCCTTCGCTTTTTCCATCACCTCAGGATTTTGGGTGAGCTCATAGAGAGTAAAGGATGTTGTAGAGGCTGTCGTCTCATAGCCAGCAATGTAGAACAGAAACAGCTGACCGGCAATCACATCCTTTGACATGGATTTCACTCCATTTTTAGTACTCTCCGCTGACCAAACAGTATCATCGGTGTTGACCTTTCCCTGATTTCGCAGTTGCAGAAGGAGTTGCAGCAAATCCTTACGCACGATATTGTTTTGCTCTCTGAGGTCAACGGTTCTGTGGGACAATTCGCGCATCCTTTCTGTGGCCTCCTGTTTCCAGCCGATTTGCACAAAGAACTTTTCCAGACTAAGAAATATTTAATGATTTTATTTAAAATATTTTAGAAAATTTCCCTTTAATCTTACCCGGGATAGAGGAAACCAGCAGCTCCACGAACAATATCTTCAAAATTTTTACGATTCACCTTTTTGCTTATGGCCTGGAATTCATTGTTGGGATCTGCAAAGCTGTCAATATCAAGGCCAAAAATAGTCGTGGCAATAATATCGATGGCATAGCTGTGCGGGGGAATATAAAGTGCATTGTATTAGTTATCTATCAGATAAGAGATATCAGTTAACAATTATCAGCGGCTATTAACGAATTTAGGAGAGTGCTAAATATAGTTTTATTTAACTTTGAAATATGTTTACGCAAGCTCTTTAAACAAATAAACTTATCTTATCTTGCGGTTTTGATGAATAGATTAAGCAAATAAACAAGAGAAATTCAGTTGTTGATTCCTTGATTAAATAATAAGTACTATTTGCTATATTCTCTTACATAGTTGTTCCGATCTAATTACATAAGAGCCTTTAACTTACGTTGCCATTAGCTTCTTGAGTTCCAGCTCCTTGCTGCCCGATTCAGGCAGTTGTGCCTTCATGCTGGCTATTAACTTATCACCAACGGAATCGGAGGTCTCGAACATAGCCTTGAGTTTTCCAGAGGTAAACGAGGGTGTCAGCTTGTTTCGTAGGGCCCTCCAACTGGCTCCCTCCATTTGGAACAAACTCGCGGACATGGGATCGTTCTTCTCATCCACATAAACCCCGCGATCATGGAAACTGGCAAAGTCCTTGACCAACATATCGTGAGCCAGCTGAGCATCTCGGATGAGAAGAGCAGGTCTCAGAGTGAGATACATTCCAATCACCGGTTCCTTTGTCGACTGATACATATCGTAGATGGCCATTCCGAAGGACCTTCTTCCCTTCGCCACGGACTCCATGGCACCGAAAGGAATGCTCACTCCCGTCGAGGGAAAACCCTTTCGATCCCAGTAGCTAAATGTCCACTTGAGGTAGACATATAGCAATGTGACTGCACCGATCAGTAGATATATTACGACCATATTGATTCTATTTTGTTCACTCCCTGTCCGCACTTCTAGCGTTCTAAATAGCAACTAACCGGTCGGATCCCACCGACAATTTATAGTCGTCAGAGAATTCTCTCAAGCGCCGCGTGTGTCAAACCATTTCGCCATATGTCTTGTGTGATTACCTTATCACCTCTACGCTCGGACGTAAACAAAGGCACTCGAGACTAGAGATTCCTTTAGAGGTAGGTCGCTCAGTCTGCCGGTTTGCCTGGAAGTTCCCCCGGCTTGAGTTCCATTTGGTGCCTGTTCAGTGTGACAAGCCGATTGTAATGTTCTCTGCAGGCGCCTCAAAGTTGCCGACTAAGCATTACAATATTAGCAGGTTGTGTTTTCTATCGACTACGTAGACAACTCTGCAGCGGTGATACGACAGATCGCCGCATGATAATCACAGGGCATTTGGTTTTCTACAAACCTATATTTAGAGTCTTTAAGCTATTACGGTTGACGACACCCCCAGAAAACGTGTTATTTAGATCGAAAGATGTAAATTGTAAGCCATGAAACAATATGTTATATAATATTTTATTATGAATTATACTAGTTTAAGATATTTTTCTCATACAAATGTATTTTCACTTCCTAAATATTGTTGTATAAGTCCAAGAGATTAGCTTGACTTTGACGTATTTTCATATTTCCAAACTTGATGAAATAGTTGAACAAAAGAACCATGCCCTTGTTAATTAGTTAAAATATTGTGAACAAATTTCCTTATTGACGGCCTTTGTTACACCTCTATATTTACCTTGGCTAAGCAAACGAAATTGTTTGTTTTATAAACTCATTTTACATGCATAGACGTATGCGATTTAAATCTTTGGAATCTTTAATGATGCTTATGTCATTCATTTATAGAACGCAGTTTGTTGAAAATAATTAATTGATTGTATATAAGGCAGATATTTTCTCTAAACGACGTCGGTCTGAATTTGTATTTTCGAAATGTTTTGTGATAATAATACAATAGTTACCCATCTAATGTAGAACAAAGGTTTCTAAGAATTCCAATTCTAATAGGTGTTAAGTTCTAAGCAAAACATGGTTTTCATAAGTATGCTACACAAAATTTGTACTGAACATCCCCATCCCCTCTCAACCAAATTCGGGCTACGCCACTGGCTTAGGCTTGAAAAAAGTATGCTACAACATTCTTTTCTTTGTATCGGAATCAAAATATGTACTAAACTGAAATCTCTTGTTTTAGTTATCATAATATTAGCCAGATAAAACACCAAAATTGAAGGCTATAGAAGCAAAGACATCTATTCCGTTTTTGGTGGGAAGCTCTGGCAGCAGCGTTTATTAGTATGAATGGGAAACACTATAAAATTAATTGCTTCAAAATATTCCTTCACGTTTCGGTGCAATTGAAAGTTGATGTTGCTGGCAGTAAAAGAAAAGCACTTATATTTTTCAACTTGTTGAAAGTCTTAAAATTTTCTATACCTTTTAAAAACGAACAATGACCCTAGGTAAGCACTAGCACAGATTTAGTGCTAATAATGTCAAAAGAGGAGTCCTGGAACATTTTTAGTTTTAGCTTTAAAATGTACGACTATCGCGTCCAAATTTATGGATTCTCAATAAAACTTAAAGGAAATTCGTTTATAAAAATAAAGATCGAAGTAATTAGGAAAAGCCTCCAAATTTTGTAAATGCTTCTTTATTTAAAGGGTAAAAAGTTGTTTTAAACTAAGATTGGATCTACTTCTTGAGAGAGAGACGTATGGGAACGCCATATTTGGGCATCAGCGAGGCTCCGTTTATATCGAATTCCAGTTCTTTCTTTTCCTTGCGCATCTCCACATTGAAATTCGACAAAATCTTGGCAACCGCTATCTTCACATTCACCTTTCCCATGCGGGCACCTTCAAAAAAAGAAAAATAAATTTTAAATTTCTTACTTAGTGGAATTATAATGGGTTCTTACCAATGCACATCCTGGGTCCCTCTCCAAAAGGCATATAGGCTGCTTGGTTGAAGTCTTTGCTCTCCTCCAAATAGCGTTCCGGCAGATAGCTCATTGGATCAGGGAAGTTCTCGGAATCGAGGTGCATTCCTAGTAAAGAAATCAAAACGGGAGTGCCCTTCTTGATCACCAGTTTGCTATCGGGCACGGGATAATCCTGAGTGCAAACTCTGTTCAGGAATGGAAGTGCGGGATATTTTCGAGTGGTCTCTGTAAGATAAATATTACGGTTAGCACATATCTATGTGGTTAGGATCTATTAGAATTTACCTAAGATACAGGCCTCCAGGTACTTCATGTCCGAGATGGCATCGTAGGTCAGCTTTCCGTCGTGATTTTCGAGGGCTCTGCGCACATCCTCCTTGGCCTTCTCCATCACCTCAGGATTTTGGGTGAGCTCATAGAGAGTGAAGGAAGCTGTAGCGGCTGTGGTCTCAAAACCGGCGGCGTAGAACAGGAAAAGCTGACCGGCAATCACATCCTTCGACATGGATTTCACTCCATTTTTAGTACTCTCCGCTGACCAAACATTGTCATCAGTGCTGATCTTTCCCTGATTGCGCAGTTGCAGAAGGAGTTGCAGCAAATCCTTACGCGCGATATTGTTCTTTTCCCTGAGATCGATAGTTCGATGGGACAGTTCGCGCATCAGCTCTATGGCTTCCTGTTTCCAGCCAATTCTCACAAAGAACTTTTCCATTCTGTGCATAAAATATTTAAGGGTTAGTAAAAAAACAGATTGGATATATAAAACGTTGATCTCACCCCGGATAAAGGAAGAGAGCGGCGGTACGAAGAATATCCGTAAAGTTCTTACGGTTGAGTTTCTTGCTAATAGCCACAAATTCGTTGTTAGGATCAGCAAAGCTATCGACATTAAGTCCAAAGATAGTTGTGCCAATGATATCGATGGCATACCTGACGAATTAAGGAGAAATGAAGACCGTTATCATTTTTCTCTTCGGGTTAATATTAATATTCCATTAACTTACGTTGACATTAGTTTCTTGATGTCCACCTCCTTGTTGCCACCCTGGGGAATACCATTCTTAATGGTGGCTACTAACTTATCTCCAATGACATCGGAGGTCTCGAACATAGCCTTCAGTTTTCCGGACGTAAAAGAGGGCGTCAATTTGGTGCGTAGGTTTTTCCAGCCGGCTCCTTCCAGTTGAAACAATCCCGCGGACATGGGATCATTCTCCTCATCCACATAAACCCCACGATCGTGGAAACTGGCAAAGTCCTTTGTCACTATATCGCGAGAGATCTGAGCATCTCTAATCAGGAGAGCAGGTCTCAAAGTGAGATACAATCCGATCACCGGTTCCTTTGTCGATTTGTAGATATCATAGATGGCCAATCCGAAAGATCGTTTTCCTTTCGCCACCGATTCCATAGCCCCGAACGGAATGCTCTTTGCCGTGGAGGGAAAACCCTTTCGATCCCAGTAGCTAAATGTCCACTTGAGGTAGACATATAGCAATGTGACCACACCGATCAATAGATATATTGCGACCATTTCGACTCCGTTTTCTTCGTCTGCACTTCTGGCGAGCTAAATCGAAACTAACTTTCCGATCCGACAACCAATTTATATTCGTTAGAGTTCTACTATCTCGGAATTTCGCCATACGGACGTGGTATTACGTTATCTTTCGGTTTGAAATAAACAAAAGCACTTGAGGCTAGCGATTCCTTTAGAGGTAGGTCGGTCAGTCTGCCTGTTTGCCTGCAAGATCCCCACGGAATAAGTTCCATATAATGCCTTCTCAGTGTGACTCGGCAATTAAAAAGCTCTAGGCGAAGCAATATTAAATTTGCCGGTAATGTTTTCTTTGGCATGTGTGGACAACCCTACAATCGTGATACGAGAAATAGCCCCTTGATAAACCTCCATATATATATTTAGTAGCTCGAGAATTATGGCGTTCTTGCCACTAGAGTGCTTGAATAAATTACGTTTTATTTCTATTAAAACTTTTTAATTATAGATAATGCATGTTATTTTAACTTACCTGAGCATCTAAAAATATTATTTTTTAAACATACTTGTTAGTTAAATTTTTTATTATTTATCTCCACTGTCAGTTATATAAACCTTAAAAAAATCATAGGTAATTTCACTATACAATGTGTAAAATACATTATTTCAAATGTTATAAACCATCTTGTGTTTTATTTTTGGCTTTCATAGATTAGACAATCAACATTTCCTATCAGAATTTGTTTCCATTAAAAGACTTGTTTTAATTAGTATAATCGCAACTCATTATTCGGAATGATTTATGCTTTATTAATGAAGCAGAATAACTGGTTCGCTTATCAAGAACTGAGCCAAATTGATAAAGTTTTTGATGGGGGCCAAGCCGAATTGACCTAGGCCCAGGGGCTATCCCCGAATTCTAAATTCTCAAGAACCTGTGACTTGCATATATCCTACATATGTACATATAGCCCAACTCTCTCCGCCCCAAAACTTTCCGCTGGCCTGTTTTGACCCGCTTTGTTGACTTTGACGTTTATGGTAGAGCTCCCCCGATGTTCAGGTTGTTCACTTGAGAACTTTGTGCTGTCAAAGTAATTAGCTGTTGTTGTTGTTTCTGTGCAGCGAGTGGCAACGACTTTGGTTAAGTATGTAAGCAACCCAATACAATGGAAACAACAATAAATATAACAATAATATAAAGACAACAACAGTATGCGGCATACAAAGTCAAAGACGTTGAACCGATTCGTGTATTTCTGTTTTTATATGGGGATTTTTGTTTTTGGCATTTTTCGGGTGTATGCAAATAAGCAAGTAATTAAATAAAATACAATACAATGCTGGGCAATTTATTAATTTAATTAAAAATAATTTTGTAGCTTAAAATACTTTTTTATAAATTGTATAAAATATTATTAATTTATTGATTTGGAAATTTTACAAATTTATTTAATTTAAACATAGTGCTACTATTTTTTGCGTGCAATTGTAGCCTGCCAATCAAAACCAGATGAAAACGAGTTTTTATTGGAAAGAAATGTATACATTTATTAACATCATTAAATTAATTAATATATAATTATTCAACATTAATGAATTTTTTGCGTCTTTTCCAGACATCTCAACTTGCTTGGCTTCGGCTTGTAAATTACAGGAAGGAACAGCAGTAATAACATAAACAAGGTGAGTTTCTTTGCAAGATCTCTGCAATTAAGTTGGGATTACTTGAGCGGTCAGTGGTAAACATATATGAATTCAATTGAACAAGGGGCAGCGCCAATTATTAAGTCATTAATTCTTGGGGATTAGCTTTCTCTCCATCTCTATCTGATAAGCCGCTGACTCGCTCCCCCGTAAATAGCCTTGATAAGGGCCTTGAGAGTCAACAGCCACCGCCATCAAACATCCCGCCCTGAGCTTTTAACCTGTGTTGATAGCTTGGCTTTTTGTTAGCTAAATATGAGGATTTTAAATAGTTAATATTAGGTACTTTGAAAAATATGTCTGTTATATATAAATGTTATAACTCGTTATAAATTCTTACTAAATACATTTATAGTGTCGAATTCGTTTAAATAGATTTAAGTTTAAAAAATATTTGATTTGAAATCAATTTCCAATATGCCTAGAAGTATGCAACGATATTTATATTTATAAAATAGTTAATACTAATGAGAAATTTTTATAGGTATTTTGTCTTTGGTCTTTGAAATCAAACTATTCCTAACTACCTACAGTATCTTATCTCTTTTATAACTATTCATACAAAAATCTTAAGTTGGACACTGTGGTTCTTCGCTCTCAATAAATGCTGGTTTCCGAAGCTTTGGTTCTCCCTCACTTTGAAGCTTTCCGCCAAAAGCAAAACAAACGCACAAGCTGAAGCAAAACAAAAAAATATATATTAAGAAAAAAGCTCGTCAGTCGTCAGCTGCTGCGCGTAGTAGTAGTTTGTGTGTGATTTTTACGGAAAAATAATTCACATCTGTGTTGCTAACCGATTTTCCCATTTAACACCCACAATTCGCAACGGTAAATGCTTTATCCGTATCCAAAGTGTGTCTAGAATTTTTTTTTTGACGAAAAACGTAACTTTTCTGAATATCGCGCAGTTTCAAACGAGTGACCTTAATCTTAAAAGTGTATTAAACACTTTTGGAGTTCAAAAACACGCGCAATTAAACACTCAAAGTGAATGACAAAAGAGCTTTGACAACAACAACAACGACAGCGACAGGGCCTTAACAACTTCCTCAATCTAACGCCCTTCGAAATGTTTTAGGCTATATACACAGCTATATGGAAATAAACCCAACCTCAAGCTCGAAACTCGAGAATAAAGCGAGCAAAGAAGCTGAAAAGCAAGGCAACTTTTTCTATATCTTTGGGTAGAGTCGGCTTTTTAAATACCCGGCACACAGGCTCTCTCTCTCTCTTTCTATCTATCATGCTCGCTCCCTCTCTTTCTTTCACACCCCTGTCTATATAGCCCACTCTCTCTTTCTATTGATTGTGACGCAAATCTCACATGTTTATAAGGCAGAATTCGAATTTGATTAAATTTTTATTAATTTGTATTTGTTTAAAAACAAAGCTTTTTCAGCGGCAGCGTTGCCAGATGGGCAGGAAAAGTCGGATCGAAAAAAATAACCGAAATAGCATTGACATTTTCAAAAGAGCTAGAAAGAGAGGGCTTGCTTCGGTGTATTACACATGTTTCGACTTGCAAAAAGCTCGTTTTTGTTCGTGCAGTTCAATTGAAAACATGTGCTGCCCCCTGTCCAATATTTTTGTTTATTGTTTATAAATGAGAGAACTTTGTTCGCCCCCTCTCTCGCCCTCTCGCTCTTTTGTTGGTGCCATCTCGCTTGCTCTTGCGGGTAAATAAGCAGCTGAGGTCAGCGAGCAAACGCCGGCGCAGCTTTTTCTGTCTTTGCAAAGACAAAATGGTAGCTTTTTCACTTGCGCAGGTTGAGAGCTTTTTTGGTTTTCTTTCTTTTTTTTCTATATTGTTTTTTGTATGTATAAAAGTGGAATCGAGCGATATAGGAAGAACCTTGTACGCTCATGACTATGGAATGGAATTTAGTGTGTGTTTTTTGTTTTAGTTTTCTGTTTTTTTTAGTTTCTCCATCCATCATGCTCTCATATTGGTTTAGTTTTTGGATGTAGTTTTTCGGAGAGTCTCTTCTTACAGCAGAAGATTCTCCTTCTGTCGAGGGTTTCTTCTTCTAGTCTCGCGACTTGGGGCGTCAGTTGTGACCTCCAAAGCTGCTTTTGCACTGATTTATTTTGCCGGCCAGCTGCGGAAGCGTTGCCTCCTCTTCGCTCTTTCTTTCGTATTTTTTGTATTTTGTTCGTATTTATTGATTTCATTACTATTTGGCCGAGGCTGAGCGTTTTTTAATGCCGGCAAGCGAGCGAGAGCCATGTGCAAATGCCAAGAAAGAGACAAGTGCACCCATCGATGGGTGGGCGAGTGAAAGAGAGGGGGCTATCTGCTCTACACAAAAGTCTTTGTTTAATTTAGCTTATCACACAAAATTCTGCTGATAACTTGAATCAGTTTTTTTTTTGATGTTTTTTTTCAGTATCTTTTGTTGCTGGCTTTATTTTTATTTTGATTTGGCATTGAACATTGTACGCTGGTTTTTTCACCCTTCTCTTTCGGTGTGTGAGTGAGGGAGAGAGGGAGATGCGATAATATTTGTGTGCCGTTTGGCTTTTTTGATAATTTCGCGTGCAAATATCACGTATGCGACGGGTTGTACCGAACTTGGTCATTATATGGTCAACCACGTTCGTCTCGCAATTGAATGTGATAAAATTGATGTGCCATTTCTCGGTATTCTTTTTATTTCAGCTTATCTCGTTATTCATTGTTCGCAAAGGTGTTTGATGGATAACGTTGCATATTTCAAGGCGCACTGTCGTTGTTAGTTAAAGTTGACCACTTTACCTTAAACCTAACTAATTCCTCTTTTAATAACTCAGCCTTAAATCAAGATGACGTTGATGTGCTAACAATAAATTAGACCTATTAAAAGTTATTCCATAAAGTGCCAAAAACAAATCAATAATATCATAAGAAAAATCCAGTAATAAAAGTATCTGCAAGCCGGAAAAATCAAAGCAAAAGTTTTGATTTTCCATTTGAGTTCCGTGCGGGAAGTTGTAGAAGAAAAACCTTCAAAGTGGATACCCTGGCGTTGCCTCTTGGAGGGCTATCTCATGTTAGAATGGCTCTAGCCAGGTAAGAATTAGCATATGCTATAATCCAAATTCCAACCATTTCAATTAAGTTTTAAAGTAATAAATAGCTAATAATAATAGCTGATGTTTAAGACGATTCTATTTTAAATGTAAATCTCTGACAGTTTACAGCAATATTCGTTAGATAAGATTATGTCAAATTGCAGTCATATAATTTTCTTGTCTTATCTTAAAAGAAGATATAACTCTTGGATAATTCATCACGTTGTATTTTTCACTTTGAACCTTTATAATACTCCATATAATGACTACTAAATTGAGATTCTTTAATTTCAAGCTCGTCAGGAAATGTAAA